CCCGAAATCAAGCTTTATTGCGGAGGAGCCGGCTACCGTCGTAATGCGGCCACGGCGACCTTTTTTATCCGCGCTCGAATGGGCCTGTGGCGTGAGCGGCGGCATAACACTCTACCCGCTGTCTGCAAAAGCGTGCAGCGCTGTGAGAGCTGGAATGTGACGAAGTCAGCCGCGGCGGAATACGTCGCGTGGAGTGTCCTGTATTATAACTCCGGCGCTGTGATCGTTCGGCTGCCATGGGAATGATGGGTACGGACCTGCTTCATCTTCGTGCGTGTGTAGCTTCGAACGTGTTATGCGTCGTCGTGTTTTGACGTTTGTGTCATGTAAAATAACGGATTGCTGTGAACTTCGTGAAATGCTTTGATTCAGTGAGCCTAAAGGTGGTGAAGTGGAATTGCGGAACATTTGCTGAACTTCGTCTCGTGGCTCCAGACCACATGGAGGAACCAAGCTTAGGCAAATCCCACCCATCACTCCACGCTGGCCTAAGCGCCACGAGTTGGAGCTCCCTGTAGTGCATTAGTAGTATGCTCGCACTCACACGTGCAGGGAACGGTTGGCGGATGTAACTTCATTCTGTTTTCTTTTTTAATACTAATTCAATAATTCGTCAGTAGCCAAATCAAGATTCAGATTAAAAATTTCCGGACAGCCCCCATTTCGACTGCCGGTGAAGCTGCAACCGCAAGTCGCAGAAACGCGTGGCGTTATAAATGACGAGTACGCGTAGAAGATTATGCCGAGCAAACTTGTAAATGTGTGGTATAGGCGATCGGGGCTTCCGTCCCGAACTTGAACAGGTAATTGTGGTGAAGACAGTTTGACGGCTGCAGTACGGCCACGCAACGTGCAGCTATAAGCTAACAAATTCGCTCTCGTCGCCAGGTATATCCGCCATCGCGATCGGCGGCCAACCAACTATTCCGCTCGGAACGGGGCATTTAGTACTCTACTTGTATTGTACAGAAAAAAAAAGTTTTCGTCGAGCCACTCGTGCGAGTGGGCGTTTTCGTGGCTTCTGTTGCGTGCCGTGACAAAACACGAGCGAAGTGGGCGTGACCATAGAAGATATCGACCGATCCGGGAACGCCATACGTGAATACGGAACGGAAACGAAATAGTTTTACGTCATTATGCGATAGCGTGCGGTTTTTGCTCCCAGAGCACGGGATAGCAATGAAAAGCTGAATGCTGACCGCGTTGCTATTTCAACGATAACATGATTTCAAAATATTTACCCCAACTTAACAAAAGTATAACAAAACTACATAGACGTTTCGTTGCCTACAGTGGTGGCATTCCCAGAATGCACTGACACCAAATGAGCGGAAGTCATCTGGCGTCAGTGTGCATATGTCCCAGTAAGCGTCCGGTAGGAGGCCCTGGTTGTTGCGAGCCGTTTTTAAATGCGAATGCATTTCTTAGTCGGACTATGTCACGCGTCCGTCGGTGTCCGCGCGCCGGCAGAAGTTCTCTCTCTGCTCTCGCTCCCTCTCTTATAGGAACAGCTGCGGGAGCGCGCGCGCGCTTATCCTCGCTCCTAGCAATCGGAGCAGGGAGTGCGGGCGCAGTAGCGGAGAGAAAGTGGAGAGGAGAAGCGCGCCCTGGCTTGCGAGCGCGTTCGCATCGTGTGTGTGTGGAAGCAGTGTAGGAGAGGGTAGGTGCAGTGCTTCGCCGCTCCTTGTATCGTGTTTGCTCTCCTCCCAGCGCCCCACTCACCCATCCCCTCGCGTGCGCCTCATTCTCGACCGTTCGCTGGCTGATGAATGTGTCAATAAATGGTTACTGTAGAAAGCTTCGTCTCGTTATTAATTTATGCCTATAAAATTATTATGCCGTGTACTCTTGGTGCAAGAAACGGATAAGGTGGGGGCAATTTGTTTATCGCGACGGATGAACCATGATTTCAGGAACCCACCCACTTTCAAAGGTGGCGGAAAAGAAGCGTTCGTGTTGTTTCAGTTGTCTTAAATGTTACTTGTTTTAATGGTAATGTGCTTGAATTAAACTTCACTTAAAGTTAACTTGCCTTAATATCATTTAAGAGTGGACCCTGGTTAATTTTGTCATACAAAATCTGGTCTGCACACAAGCCTACACCCCGCTTCTGATTTTGTGCGCCGTATACTCGCGGGTGAGTTGGCACACACGAGCAGTTCGTGAAAACGGGCGCCACGTCACCGCTCCAATGAAATCTGCCGGTCGGTTCTTGCGCTTCGTGCGGTTCATACGCACCGCTACGTCGATACCTCGTTTGCTTGCCTCGTATCGTGAACAAGTCTGTCTGCTGTTCCGCAGAGGCTGCACAGTTTTAGTAACGCAAATAATTCAATTCAATTCGATTCAATTTTTTTTTAGCGACCGATTCCGACACCAGCACTGCGCGAGCGTGGCTCTTGAGATGGGGAGGCTCAAAGCTGGCGCAAGGGCTTCTCTGCTCTCATTCTCGAAATCTCTCTCTTCCTCATTGGTCACCTTGCGCAGACCCTCAAACCCGGCTGCGCTCTCCCTCTCCACGGGATGTCGTCTGCTTATGGAGGGCCCGGTCTGTTTCCTATCTGCCGCGCGGGCGAGGCCCGCTTCGTCCCTTTTGCCTCTGATTGCTTCGAGCCCACGGGGGTTACTACACCCGGTCTTCGCAGTTGCGGGCAGCGCCGAACAACGTGCAGTGCGGAGAGCTGACCACCGACGCGCAGATTATGTCCCACTGCCGAGTGTGTGTGGCATTTAATTGCGATGATCGCGCGTTTTCCAAAACACTCCCACCGTTCGTTTGATGCCGTAATGTCCTGTGAAAGCGTTGCACGTGGTCTGAGATGTGACCACTGCGCAAATGAGGGACCTGTAGCTGCGCCACTGCACGCTTTTCTTTCTCGAGGCGGTGAGATGTCGTTTCTACTTTTGTGCCGGCACCTCCCCACAGACGGGCGAGCGTGAGTGTTTTGCGATGCGCGCCTGCGTTTGCAGATGAGGTATTTTCCTGCCTGCGGTGCATTCGCTCGGCGAGGAGGGGGAAATGTAAAAAAGAAGTGCTTTCGTGTGTCCGTCCCGACGACTGACCTTCGCAATAAAGCAGTCCGGCCTATTGAAGAACCTGCTGGCAATTTCTGGTTTGGCCAGCAGTGCGGGGAGGCCTTTAGTGGGAGCCGGTTAGGAGGGGGAACGCGCACGATGGCCGTTCTCGATAGCCCGGTGATCTCTCTCGCTGCTACCGTCTTTCGATCGATAGCATCGGTGCCGTCGTTTTAACCGATGCGAAGAAACGTCGTCGCGACGTCTTTTCAGCGTCACATGTCCTCGCAAACCATTATTCCCTGCCGCCAGCTTCAATTGCTTGTAGTTGGCAAGACGTTACCCAGGTCATCTGAGGGATCAGAAATCGTGTTTGGTGTTCTTGACTGGCTTGGCTTTGCTGCCGTTTACCCTACCTCAGTTTCTCCCGAAAGTCCGAGAATCACGTGGATTTCGCCATGCAGTTAGCGCTTCACATATTCTACTGAGGCTGTTAGGGCGCCATGTGGTGTAAATACGCAGCATTTTGCTAATAGCCAACTGGCCACCCTCGTTGATGCCACCTTCTTAGAAAATAGGCACCAAGCACACGCGATCTCGGCGGTTATTAATATTTTTTATGAAGGTGTGGTAGATTCCGGTCTGTGTTTGGGTGCCAGATACTGCGTGACTGTTTTTATATTGTTCTCATTAGGAGCGTCTCAGAAGGTGTCTAAAATGCATTTCTTCTTCTGTCCTTCCGTGCCCTGGAATGTTGCCAGCTCTCGGCTCTTCCCCTCTTCACACTCTCAGCAATCACTTCATTTCTGAGAGAGTGTAAAGGAATGAAAATAAATAAAAGAACATGACTCTAAGGGGTAAAAATAGTATTCTGGGAGTAGTTCTGCTACACGACAATAAACCGTCATTTGAATTGCTCGCATTTCCATTCTTGAAAACTTGGTGTTAGCCGCATTCCTGTCGGGAATACTATGCCACACTGATAACTCGCGCGCCGTTTGCGACCGCAAACTACTAGTACTGATAGCGTGAGGAAAGTACTCGAGGTAGATGACGATTATTGTTGTGCAGCAGAAACACCCCCAAAATACTTGATTTTTTTAGAGTGTAGGCAAGTCGAACGGCCGCAGCCTTTCGCCGAACGCACTTTCGGAATTGTGAAGTATCCTCCGGTTTTTCGTACGTATAGTCTACCACAAAAGTTTACGGACCACGCGAGTGCGTGGCCAAAAACGTCTTCGCGACACTTCCGCTGCGTCAGCGGTGTTCGACCGCACCGCAGCGCCCTCTCTTAACGTGTGGCCTGCCTGTTTTCTGACTCGGCACAAATAATTTGCTCCTTTCACTTCTTAACGCGGAGCTATTTTTGGCACCTGTGTCTACGTGCTTCTGCCTCGATAGCAGTTCATGAGCATGCCTGTTATCAGCCGCAATCGTTATCACAAAATGATACCTAGCCGACATAAAAATGATACCTAGCCGACGGAAAACCTTCGGTGGCACGCCGCGACAGCTTCGATGCTGCTAGGAAAATATAAATGTGATCGCCATACTGCAGATAAGCACTCCACGTGGAAACTGCGAACTAACGATGTGCTGCGCGACAATAGAAAATCGAACGGCCAGTGGACAAGAAGAAGACCCGTTTCCGGCCTAGCACTGAGGTCGACGGTATATGGCGTACCACTAGATGGCGCTGACAGGCACATTGGCACGTGGTCGCATGGTCCGCAAACTTTTGTGGTTGACTGTACATACAAAAATTGACCCACTGACTTTCATACATTTATGCGATTAGCCATCGGGTACATTCATCAATGCCAAATTGCTTGAACCAAGTTTTACAGCTAGGGAAGAACATTCAACGTTCTAATATAAGCGTCGCGTGATCCAACGGCGTCGGATAGACCGCTCGCTTTTCTAGGGACATTCGAGTGTCGTGCCTTGTTGTATTGCTGCTTATTTGTGTACTGGTGCATGAACAGCGTATTCTTTCTTGTCCCAGCCGGAGCCCTCTCGGACCAGGCGGGCCCTGGCAGCATGTCGTTTGAGTCTCCGCGGTTCGCGGAGCCTCCGGACGAAGGCGGCCCGGGCGACTCCGCGGCTGACGACGATGACGATCCGTTAGCGTCGCCCGACTGCTGGGGATGACGTTGGGCCCGGTATGTCATTTTCCCGAACAACTTAAAAGTGCCGTGTAGCTAGACGGAGTGCTGCCTAACCACGCATTTGTGGTGTTTCGGCGCATTTTGATTATGTACTCTTGAACGAACTCTCTCGTTGTTATGCCCAGCGTGAAAAGAACCTTGTTCGAAGGTTAAGCACCTGTTTTTGTAGTCACCCATGTGCAGTTCACTGTGTTATAAGAAAGAAAAAAAGTGGCAGTAGCAGTGTTTCCGGTGGCCGTCACTTCTGGGCGTCTACCGTGTGCTCGCTTGCTATCAGTTCACTATATATTTACTCGTCGGAACGTTGGCTTCGTAGTTGAAGTCAGCGGCCGGCCCGTGTCACGATAGGGGGCTAGTAACATTGGCACTAGTATACTAGTAGTTGCAATGGTGGTAGAGGTAGTGGTAAATGATATCCATATATCACAGATAACTCTGTCAAGTAAACTATAGGTGATATATCGGTATATACATAATGCACGGTAAATGTGAATAAAGAAAAGTAAACGAAAACATTACTTGCGGAGCTGGCAGTGATCGGACCTGCGACATTCGAATAATGTGTCGGATGCTCTACCAACCGAGCTGTATTGGCGGTCATCCTCCCCATCCATTTTATTGGGTCTTCGCAAGCGCCGCCACGACGAGTGTGGAACACTTTTTTCCCGCCTGTTGGCGTCAGGTAGCACGCGATTTCATTAGGAGCTGGCCAGTGATCAGGAAATGCAACACGAGGACGGGCGCACTGTTAACAACCTAATTATTTTCTGAAAACATTGACCCGCCATACCTTCGATCTGCGCCAGCACATTGAAACTGTTCAACAGTGCACATATAGAACAGCACAAGGTCATACGCCTTAAAGGAGAGGTCTTAAACTCAACAGTGACTCAGTTCAAGTGCTCAAGGACAGAGCACAAGGTAAAATCGATAAGGGGTGGAGGGGGGTGGGGGTAGAATATAGAAACTGCTAGCAAACGTTCACAGTTGAAATAAATATCTTCCCAGATGTCGTCATACGCGTCATTTCTGAATATACGGCTCCAGGAATCCACGAACACGCACGTGCCGATCGCCAAAATGACTAAAACTTGGACGGCCATTCTCAGATATAGTTTAGGTTTGGCGGTTCTGTTTCAGCAGATGTTGACAAGACAAGGGGCCTCACGAAAACAACGCTTTGCGCCAGTTTTGTCTGTGTGGCTTCCAGTAACACTTAGTAAGGAAATGAAAATAATAAAGTAAATAAAAGAAAAATTGGGCTGTCGAAACAGTCCTGTGCGCGCCACGTGTTGGAGACCCCTGTCTTGAAGCAATGATGACGGGAGCGAAACTACAGATTCTTTCCTCTTTTCAAATGCAGATGGCCATGTTTGATTGCATTGTTTCCATTCTGTGGCGGTGTTATTGCAGCGTGGCGGGCATGCGAACTCGTGGCGATGCAGCAACTGTTCTGTTTTGCCACACCCACACCTTGCAGGCTGCTTCCCCCGGCCCCCCGAGTTCGGCGTGCCCCCTCCTCCTCTGCCGCCGGGCCGGTGCTCGTCCGGTCGTCGCGCGGCCGGCGACGAGCTGCAGTTCTGCGAGGTTCGTCCCGTGGGCGCCGAACTGACCACGCCCTCGGCCTTTCCCTCGCTGCCCGTCATCGCCGTCTGCTCCTCGGTCGTCCTCGTCGCCGTCCTCGTCGCTTCGTTCCTCCTCTGGAAGTGAGTACTCTCTTCTTCTGCACGGGGCAGTCGTGGGACATTGCAGGAACCAGGAATGCATCTCCTTCATGGACATCGGATTTGTGATGTACCGCTGTGCGTTGTTATATACGGAATGACGTGGTACTATAGTTCACGTACACACTGTGGGGGTGTGCGTGTGGACTCGTTGCGACGTGCACTTTTGCCAGCACACTGTACTTTATCACGTTATGGTAACTTGTTTCAGAGTAGTATATGTTCTTTAAAGTTCCATTTTTATTTTTGGTGACAATGCTGTAATTCCTTTTTGTCTTTAATCACTTTCTCCCTCCTCATAACAAGGAAGCTAAAACAGAACGAAACATGCCTAGTGCACGCCCGATTGCGTTTAGAAAAGTCCCATATTTTGCGACCACCATTCCCGCACTGAGAAAAGTTGAAGTTGCGCCGGTCGCAAAGGTCTTTCTTACGTGCGCATGCTTTTTGAAGGATTACTAGCAGGATAGCTATGTCGCTGTACCGTGATTTGAACAATGCACGAACTGACAAGCCCTCTATCGAAACTCCGAGAGAGCCGAGAGGTATATAAAGGAGAAAGGGGCGAAGGTTGACCACAACATCAGAAGACGATTTGCTACCCTATGCTTGGCGTGCTGGTATAGCACACGCAACTCTCATATAAGTGAACTTTGAGGAACCCAAGCAAAAACAGCTCTGTATAGGCTCAGTAGTGTCCAGAATATGAAACAACTAAGCGTCGGGTCGACAGCGTTAATTTTTTTCTATGGAGTTTATACAGGTGTCTGCCCCAATGTGAACGAAGTGCGTAACAGTTACGTTGCTGCGTATATAATGTCGCTAAAAAGAAATTAAAATCCAATATTTTGATTTTTACTGGTGCGCCTAAACGTAGGACGTAACGAAGCTGCCCGGAGTTTTCGCGCTCCTGTTCTGCCGAAGATTGTTGTGTGTATATTGGCTAGGATTCTCCTTTCCAGGTGGGCGTGTCAGCTCGTGAGCTACATCGCCCCCCACGTTCAGCCGCATAGCAGTGCCAAGCCTCGCTATAAAGCTTAAAGAAACCATAAAGAGAAAAAAGGTATTTCTCGCTTATTTGTAAATTATAATTTCTCAATGCAGACAACACCTTTTTTTACTGATAGACGACGCTTGGCGAGCGAGAAAACACGCGAAAATAACAGTACCAGTGGCGACGTCATCTCTATATTCCCGCACCAAACGCTCTGACGTCATAGATTTCGGCGGTGTCCGCAAGGTCGTACGTTTACTTTTTGACCGGTAAAAATGAAGTGCATCGTTCCTTCTAGGAGGCCACCGGGTTCGAGATGCCAAGTTTCAGAAAGTTGCGTTGCGCCAGTGTCATCAATATACGAAATATGTGGTTTAAAATCCGTGACGTCACGCACGAATACTTTGGTGCGAAGTTTACAAACGAAACATTGGTTTTGATCTTCTCTTTTATGTATTAGTTGAAATAATGACATTCCGTCTTTTGAGAGTACATTGTATCAATCCAAACCGAGCCATTGTGTCCTTTCTTGCGGAACCAGATCGACGTGGTCGCGAAGAGAGCGGCGTGTGACCGCCGCTCTTTCATTTACCGTTTACTGAGCCAGGAGACGCCGTTTCGTGGCAAGGCCGAACAAATGAATGCGACAGCAACAAGTTAGAACGGTATACGAATCGAGGCTTTAGCAGCTGAACTGCTCTAGAATTTGCTCTGACATACTCTGGCGCGAAGCAACACTGGTCGCTCCAGTGTACGAAATAGCTGTCATGCTGTCTCTCGCCTCAGGCGCGAAGTAAACGGTGACCATACAGCACGTAGAAGGCTATGAGCCGTCTGCGGGTCTCTGTCGAGATAGCATGCGCCCGTTTGATCAAAGATTGCAGTTCCTTCTCGAGCAGTTCAGTCCCGTCTCTTCCACTCCCTGTGTTGGCACGTGTTCATGCAGCGCCCGACCCAGGCGGCCAGTGCGTTTTATCTCTGCTTCAGCCGTGTCCATCGGCAGCCTGCGCAAGCCTTTACTCACACGTAAAACACAACACGCTGGACGACGTGATCGACTTGGCCTTTATGCGGAACATGAAGGCCCTTTCACCCTATATATGTTTGTCGTGTTTCCATCGAATAAACAGTTGTTAGTTCGCGCTCGTGTGTGTCCTACCTTTGCCGCAGTGTGTTTTTAGTGTTCGATTCTAGCGTGTTGCGAGTGTCAACCATAATAATCATAATCGTCAGCCTTGACTACACCCACTGCAGGGCAAACGCCCTTCCCTCATTTCAGCGAGCACCCTGGTCCTGTGTTTCTAGCAGGCCCCGCGAAGGCCCATTTGCGCACCTAACTTTCTGCCTCGACCTTCTCTTGTGCACCAGCCTGTAACTCCTAATGACCAGTGGTTTACCTTGAAGATAGAAGTGGGGCGCAGTTCGTGACATGGACTGGAGGAGAGAACAACAACACAGGCGCACTGTATACAATACATTTCGTTTACCCTGACCTTTTGCTACATGCCCTCGGCGTGCCAATTTCTCATTTTAGATTAGGTGTTTTAACATAGGTTTGCTCCTTGATCTTTTCTTGACCCTCAGCGCTATACCTTTCTATATAATGCGCTGCGTCGCCCTCAATTAAACTCGAACCCTTTTAGTAAGCTTTGTATGTGAATACATCAACATGTAACCATATAGCCAGAGCACAACTGGGAAGCCTTCTTTGTGTTCGTGCCACGCTCTCGTCGTGGCCTTTCCGCCTGTGACTGCATTCAGGACAGTTGTGCACCTCTAGCGTTTTCCCGGTTCGTTCCGCGCCTGCAGTGGGCGGGCGCAATTTTCGGCGGCGCCGCGAAGTATATACGCTCCGGGGCACAGTCCGACGGCCGTCCGCTGTCCACTCCGCCTGATGAAGACGTCGACGTTGAGTGCTCGAAGGACATCCGTCAACTCCGGTTCCGGCACTGCTGTCGCGCGCTACTCGGGAGAGCCAGTGATTAGAGCGTGTGGCGGTGACGCCAAAATCAAGACCGAAAGCCGCGAATGAGGGCCTTGCGTGATCGGCCGCTTCCCTTGCGAGGACTTCCCGCAATTTGACTTATGCCGAGAAGATTGCTGGTGGCCAGGCAGGCCGAGTTGGGGGGGGGGGGGGGGTAGTTGCTTGAACGTATAGACAAATTCCACCAGACTTACGTCAGGATAATGCGGTGGCGCTGTCTTGGTAGGCAAAAGACGCTCTGCCTACCGCCGTTTCTGCTAAGTTTTGCAATGGTGCATGTGGTGTTCTCAATCAAGCAACGAGGAAAAAAAAAAAAACGGTATGGCAACGAGCTGCGTCGCGGTTGAATGTGAGTCGCGTCTCACAACTTAGTTTCGTTTGTGGACGCACATCGCGACCATCAGCGCTTATGGCTTTCGCAACGCTTATGGCGTCTCACAACGTCGTTTTGTTGGCGACATCGCAGCGCTCAGCGCTTATGGCGGAAGTTATGTGCGGACGTCGCTATAATTTTACCCGTAATGTCGACATTGGCCTACCTGTGTTTACAAACATGGAATGGGTCTATAGTAATACACGGAGCAAAACACTCTGCTTACTCTTGTCTCTGTCGTGTTGGGGTTTCATCCCATTCACCTGACCGCAGTCGTACAAATTAGGACCAGCAACAAAATAGAAGCTGCAGGGAAGTGGGTGTTTGAGTGTATAAATTGCCCGCAAGTGTCGCTATATTTGAAAGAAAGACCTTACTGCATACCTCATGTACAGACAATTTCTGCAGATTTGGTGCCAAGCGGGTTCCCACAAGCTGTCGGCAGAGAGCGCATGTTTTTGTGTCACGGTGATGAAAGAAGTTTTACGACACGCCTTCATAGTTGGGGGCATTTCTTTAAAATGATAAATGTGAGTATATTCATGTATGGGGAAATTCATTGTACTCCCGCATTTTTCTGGCTTCTTCTAAAAAGTCGCTCCTGTTTTTTTCTTTCTTTCTGGTCTCTCTTGTGGTGGTTATTTGCTTGCTAGCTCTATAGGGCCTGGCAGAGATCTCATCCATTTCTCCTCGAGCTGATGCGTACGGAAGGACACCATCACTTTGTCCTTCCCACTGCCCTTCTTGTGTAACTGCGTCTCTTCCGGCGGCGGGGCTTTTCAACTTCCGGCGGCGCGTGACCACGTGCTCTCTGACCGTAACATCCGCCGGAGAGCATCAAAGGTCGTCACGGTGCGTAAAGGCCCTCCGCATCCGGGGCTAGTTCTCGACATGACGTCGCGTGAGCCTGCGTCGTGTTCGGGGGCGGGACTCTTTTGAAGCTGTTAAACGGGTATGAACTGGAGTTCCAGAATGTAACCTTTTGGACGCATACATATATATAAACAAGATGCGAAAACGCGGGCTGCACATGATCTTGAAAACTTTGCCAATGCGGACAAGCATAGTCAGCGCTTGTGTTGTGTGCTTACCGTTTCTTGTTTGTCCGTCTTCGTTAAATTTTGCGCTACTGTTCTCGACATTAAAATGCAGTTTGCTTCGAACGCCATCCCTCGTCCTTAATTTGCAGTATAACGAATCGGAAGGTGTTGAACCTCAATTCTTACGCGCGTCAGATGCGAAACGAACGTTTATTCGATAGCAAGCTTAAGGTTTCGGCCGAGTTTGGCAGCTGGCTTAGTCCAACGAGTTTCATATCCTATAGATTCATTTTCTGGACCCAGTTCACGAGGCTTTTATGAAATGCGCCGCAGGTGCTGGTATTGCAGCCTGCTTCCACATTGCTATTCTCCAAAGTCGTGGCTGCCGACCTTGCTTCCTGTAAGGTGCTTTTTTTTTCTTTTTGTTTTACACTGCCGACGTTTCTTCTGAGCTGTGGCTGTTGGCTGCTGTCGTGCACTTTCACTCGCACATGTAACATATGCTCCGGTGTGTGGAGCTCGATGTTATCGATTTGGACTGGTATCGTAACATGACCGAGACGCCACCGTCACAAACTCGTCCACTGACTG